CTGTTTTCCCGTATATTACTTTTAAATGGACTTCTTCCAGTAAACATTACATACAGCCTGCAGTTAAAGTTTTTAAAACATTTATTAGATTCATAAATCATCCTGGATTTTTACCAAACTTGGACAGAAGCTTCTTACAATCAAAAGATAATATCTAGAGGAAAATTTTTAATAATTTTTTTTTCCCATTTGTGTTGAGCCTGCGACTTTTGTCGCAAAAGCGAGACTAATTAGCGATCCTACATTCCGTCTGAAAACATAGACAACAGCAAAAATAGGCGAGACACTGCATGGGTTCCGCGGAACCCTTACACATTTTTACGTGGATGTTGTTTGAAACATTTAAATTTTATAAACGATATTTACAATATTACATATATATGGTCTAGTCAACAACAAATTTACGAAAAATACATAGAATTTATTTGATATACCCCATAAAATTCACTTCTGAAATAAGCAAGAAGAGGCCAATAAAATTCATGAATGCTTCTTATATGTCATTATCTTACTCTTCTAAAGATGGATTCATTTAAATATGTCAATAAACGGAACTATAAAAAATTGTCATACAAGTGGGAAAATGAGCTAGCTATAAAACCACAATTTTCTTCGGAAAATACGTGTACCAAGTCGTACCAAGTCAGGATTTGACGGTTGCTTTCCGTTTGTTCCGTTGGTTAATATAATCTAACGTTTGATTTTGTCAGTTTTTATGGACCTCCTCTTTTTTTAAATTTACTTTAGAGTTTGGTATTTTTGTTAATACTTTTTCATTACATCAAAATTAACACAATCTTCTTGTTTTTAACATCAAATACAGAGTTCCGGACTTTTTGTCAGAATACTTCATTTAAAAAAGTCACAAAGTTTGACAATAATCTTTTTTGAAGTGTATAAATATGTATTCGAAATAACTTTAAATCAGTTTATTTACAAACGTAAACACATTAATTGTTTGACGAGTTCAAGCTTCAGATGTCTGATATAATGAAAAAGCAGCCAGTCAAAACGGTCACTGGACCAGCTAATCTTCTCCTCGTAAATGAGTGAGATACATTATGCACAGGTATGATTAGATAGTTTCTAGCTTTTCACAAACAAATAGTCCTGACTTTGCAACAGTAGCGCACTACCAGCTTTGAGGATAATGAGATTTCCTTCAGATACGTTGGATAGGATACTAAACTTTTATTTGTTGTTGTTGGCTTTAAAAATCAATTTTATATGTTTACGCACATAACTATTTTACTGCGCATGTCTCCCCTAGTTTAAAGTGAACTCTGATACAACCCCTTGTATTACTACCATTCTAACTTGGTGTTTTGTAATGATACAGAAAGGAAATATAATATATGTTACTAACCACCTGTGCTTTCTGTTAGTCTAAGTTTCTGTCGAATAATCTACCAATGTTAACGAGGCCGGGATAAGGTACAGGTACTTGATGTTATCCAACAAACAATGAAAAATAGTTTTGGACGAATGGCTAAGTTATTAAAAAGCGCAAAATTTTAAATTAAAATAGTTAGATAATTTCAGTCCAAGAAAAAGTTCGCTATACATTTGTTGTTGTTAGAAAACAGTTCATTTAAGGCAGCATTTGGAGGAAGTTCATTTGTGCGTAGAGGATAAGCAGGATCTGGTGATATTGCAGTAAATAGTTTATTTCTCAAAACCGAGTAACGATCACAGTATAAAATGAAGTGTTGCTCATCTTCAATAGACCCAGAATTACACATTTTACAGACTCGTTGTTCGATTCGAATGTTTCTACAGCGTCCGCGTTCGACTTCTAGTGAGAAAGTACCACAACGAATTCTAGAGATTGCAGATCTTTGTGTCCTTGATAAATGTTTTTTTTTACGTACGGCTCGGCACAAAATTCGGTTTTTAAGTGTTTATATGTCCTCAACTTTGGCATATTGTTTATTTCGTTAAACCACTTGTCTTTGAAATCTGCTACAAGTTTACTTTTCACAGAGTCTAAGATGAGTCATGTTGAGATGTCGGAGTCATTGTCAGTTAGGTGTGAAAGATTGCATTTGTCCAGAAGCGTTTTAACACTGTTGAACCATGTGTTGCGGTAACGTCTCGACATTTAACGATCCCAAACAAACACTTTCCGGCAAATTCTGTGACCAGGCATGTTCATAAGACGACACCATAAGCGGATTAAGTTACACTGGTTGTGAATAAAAACTGGATGCCATCCCATGTCTGCTAATATTGCTGGAATTGGTGTTGTTTTGATGACACCAAGAAAAGTTCTGATAGATCTATAATGTAAGCGTTCGATATTGTCATATTGCTTGGCTCCCCATACCCCGGATGCATAATCAAGTACAGGAATAACAGTGTTTTCATAAATTTTCGTGAATATATCGTAGTCCATATTACCAATGTTAAAGAATTTAGATGTCAATGATCCCAATGATCTACTTCCTGCACTTACGAGTTCACTAACAGAGACATTATAATCCATATGTTCGGATAATGTGAGTCCCAAGTTGCGATATTTAGTTACAAATTCAAATGTCGAAATGTAAATTGAGTTCTGTCCTTTGTAATCTTTCGAATATGCATAATTTTTGTCTTTTCTGTATTAACGTTCATCAATTGTGTCTTTGTCCAATCGTTCAGAGCATTCAGCTGATTTTGTAATCCATTAATAGTGTCCGAAATAAGAACAAGATCGTCAGCGTATAGCAAGCAGCTAATCATATCGTCACCAACTAATGCTCCACAACAGAGTCCGTTAATGAGTGGTACCAATTCATCAATAAACAATTCAAAAAGAGTGGGCGCGAGGTTGTCACCTCGACGGACACCGGAATCAACTGAAAACTATTCAGTAAACATCGTAGGCGATAATCGTACTGCACTTTGTAGCTTTGAGTAAAGACACATAATAACTTTGTACATACTTCCATACACACCCACGGCTAAAAGTTTATTCCAGAGTATTGTTTGATTCACTGAATCAAATGCCTTGCTGAAGTCAACACAGCACAAAACAAATGTCTATGTTCTGCAGTTTTCTTTTTCTCAATATTGTATACAGTGAAAAGATATGGTCCAGACATGATCTTAGCCGCCTAAATCCTTTTTGTTCCTCACTAAGAAAGTTATTTTTTTCGAGGTGACTGATTAGCCTTTCATTCAAAATCAATCTAAATGTTTTCGCGACAGTTGACATCAGACTTATGCTTCGGTAACCCATCGGATTGCGGAAATATTTGCCTTTTTTTAGCAGAGGACATATAATGCTTCGACATCAAGGATCTGGAACAATTCCATAGCTAAAACATACATTGAACAGTTCGTGAAGGGTTTTCGTCAGTATATCACTTTTCAGTATTTCATCAGGTAAATTGCCTATTCCTACTGCTTTGCTATTTTTTAAACTCATCAGCGCACGTTTCGTTTCATCAAGAGAAATAGGTTCGTTCAATTCAGATGTGCTCGTGTTGTCAATATATGTCTGATTGTTTACAGGGAGGTTTTCAATTCACGCTCTATGGAAATTTTGTTTTTGACTGAATTAAATGAAGAATTAAGAAAAAAGTAAAATACCGAAAATATCGAACTCCATGGAAAATTCAAATCGGAAAGTCCCTTATAAAATTGCGAAATCAAAAGCTCAAACACATCAAACGAACGGAAATCAACTGTCATTTGTCTGACTTGGTACATGCATTTCCTTATGTAGAAAATAGTGAAAGTAGCGTGAATGGATTTTGCACATGTTTATTTGTTACATCAATCAACATTTTAAATTCAAGATGTGTTTTGTGTTTTGTGTCCGTGTTTTTTTTTTATTTATTTCTATGAATTTACATTTCATGAAAACCAGTAATCAAATTAAAAATGTGTGTCTCCTTAGAATGACAAAGTGATAACACAGCTACTGGTGAATTGAATTGAACTGTAAATGTAAGCAACTCTTTCAAGTGTGTTTTATTTTCGTTAACTTTTATTTGTATTTCCGTATTATGATAAACGATCGAGTAGGGTTAAATGTCAAGGAGACATTAACCATTCATAGAAATTAAATATAAAGGTTCAAACTTTGCCTATTGTTATTGGAGCACACTTTTTCGTAACAGATGAAATATAGTTTGGCAAACAGCAATATCTAGTCGACCTATGAACAGTTATTGCCTACATTTACTTGATCCTGAAAAATGAAGCCCTGCTTTTTAATGATAAATAAAATAAAATGTATGCATGTTATATTAGAACAAAAGCTCATTGTTCACTGAAATCTGCAAACACATGTATTCAAACAGATATGCAGTTTATTTTTAATTTAATTTTTGGGAAAGTTTGGCTGCACCTATAGTAACCTAATTTTGTGGAATATGAAATCCTCATTTTTACCAGAATGTTGTTTGGAACATTGAAAAATTATAAACGGTATTTACAATATGACAAATATGTGGTCAAGTCAACAACAAAACTACGAAAAATACATAGAATTTTTTTGATTTACCTTATAAAATTCACTGAAATAAGTAAAAAGAGGCCCAATAAAATTCATCATTGCTTCTAACATGTCATTATCTTACTCTTCAAAAGATGGATTCATTTAAATTTGTCATTAAACGGAACTATAAACAATTGTCAAACAATTGGGAAGTTAAGCTAGCTTTAAAGCCACCATTTTCTTCGGAAAATATCTGCACCAAGTCAAAAGTAGACGGTTGCATTCCGTTTGTTCCGTCGGTTGATATATTTTAACGTTTGATTTTGTCAGTTCTTATTGACCTATTTTTTAATTTACCTTTGAGTTTGGATATTACTATTTTATAACATCATGATGGACACAATTTACTTGTTTCTAACATCTAACATAGAGTGTTGATGAGTGTCCGGACTTTTTGTCCGAACACTTCCGTTTACACAAACAACAAAGTTTGACAAATATCTTTTTTGAAGTGTATAATTATGTATTCGAAATTACTTTAAATCAGTATATTTACAGACGTAAACACACTAATCGATTCAGGAGTTCAAGCTTCAGATACCGGATATAATGAAAACGCAGCCAATCAAAACGGTCACTGGTCGAGCTAAACTTATCCTTGTAAATAAGTGAGATATAAAATGCACAGGTATGATTAGATAGTTACTAGCTTTTCACAAACAAATAGACCTGACTTTGCAACAGTAGCGCACTAGGAACTTTAAGGAAAATGTAATTTCCTTCAGATGCGTTGGGCAGGATACTAAAATTTTATTTTTCATTGTTTGCTTTAGATATTTATGTTTACATGTTTATGCACAAAACTATTTTACTGCGCATGTCTTCACTAGTTTTAAGGGAACTCTGATATAAGCCCTTATTTTACTACCCATTCTTACTTGGTGTTGAATATAAATACAGAAAAGAAATACAATATCTGTAACCAACCGCATGTGCTTTTTGTTATTTTTTGTGGAGATTTTAATGAAGATTATCAACAAATATTTCTGCATTACTTGATTTCGAAATGAGACAGCCAAAACACATAATTAAACTGTTATTAATTGAATAAATGTAAATTGCTTAACTGTAAAATACTTTGTTTTTTGCTATATAGAAATAATAGAAAGAAATTATATTTGAAAATAAATCAAAAATAAAGTAAAAAAGGGAAAACAAGAAATATCGTACAGAAATGATCTTAAAAAATCACTTTTAATTTTTGTTCTAATAAAGACTATCTTTTCAAAATTTTAAATCGTGAACTGTAGTATAATCCGATAATCACAAAGTTAACTTCAACTCAAAGATCATCTAAGAAACTACAACGAAAAAAATCTTAAAAAGACTTTTTCGGGACCCATAGTGTACAAATTTCAAAATTATAGAAACATACAATTTGAATTATATATATTTTAATATACTTTTCTCTTAATTCTTATTATTTTAGTCCACAAAATAATCATGTTTAATAATATTGTTTTTGACTGAAATAAATGAAGCATTAAGAAAGTAGCGTGATCGGATATTGTATTTCTTTATTCGTTACGTCAATCAACTTTTTAAATTCAAGATGTGTTTTGTGTGCATGCAATTTTTGTCGAGCCTGCGACTTTTGTCGCAGAAAGCTCGACATAGGGATAGCGATCCGGCGGCGGCGGCGGCTACGGCGGCGGCGGCGGCGGCGGCGGCGTTAGCTAACTTCTTAAAAGCTTTATATTTTAGAAGATGGAAGACCTGGATGCTTCATACTTTGTATATGGATGCCTCATGTTACGAAGTTTCCGTCAGTCACATGTCCAATGTCCTTGACCTCATTTTCATGGTTCAGTGACTACTTGAAAAAAAAGTTCAGATTTTTTGTAATGTTAAATTCTCTCTTATTATAAGTAATAGGATAACTATATTTGGTATGTGCGTACCTTGCAAGGTCCTCATGCCCGTCAGACAGTTTTCACTTGACCTCAACCTCATTTCATGGATCAGTGAACAAGGTTAAGTTTTCGTGGTCAAGTCCATATCTCAGATACTATAAGCAATAGGTCTAGTATATTCGGTGTATGGAAGGACTGTAAGGTGTACATGTCCAACTGGCAGGTGTCATCTGACCTTGACCTCATTTTCATGGTTCAGTGGTTATAGTTAAGTTTTTGTGTTTTGGTCTGTTTTTCTTATACTGTATGCAATAGGTCTACTATATTTGGTGTATGGAATGATTGTAAGGTGTACATGTCTAGCTGGCAGGTGTCATCTGACCTTGACCTCATTTTCATGGTTCAGTGGTCAAAGTTAAGTTTTTGAGTTTTGGTCTTTCTTTCTAATACTGCATGCAATAGGTCAGCTATATTTGGTGTATGGAATGATTGTAAGGTGTACATGTCTAGCTGGCAGGTGTCATCTTACCTTGACCTCATTTTCATGGTTCAGTGGTCAAAGTTAAGTTTTTGAGTTTTGGTCTTTTTTTCTAATACTATATGCAATAGTTCAACTATATTTGGTGTATGGAAATATTTTATGATCTATATGTCAGTCACGCAGGTTTTATTTGACCTTGACCTCATTTTCAAGGTTCATTGCTCAGTGTTAAGTTTTTGTGTTTTCGTCTGTTTTTCTTAAACTATAAGCAATAGGTCAACTATATTTGTTGTATGGAAGAATTGTTAGCTGTACATGCCTGCCTAGCATGGTTCATCTGACCTTGACCTCATTTTCATGGTTCATTGATCAATGTTTAGTTTACTTGGTTAATGTTAAGTTTATGTGACAGTTGTAATAAAGCTTTATATTTAGGACTATCAACATAATATCAATGATTAGTAAAGAAGGCGAGACATTTCAGCGTGTGCACTCTTGTTTATATTTGTATGAATTTACAATATGATGAAACCCGGTAATTGAATTAAAAATGTGTAAATCCTTAGTAAAACGAATTGATAATATATGCTACTTGTTAATTGCATTGAATTGTAAATGTATTCACCTCTTTCTATTGTGTTTTATTATTCGTTAAATATTATTTTCATTTCCGTATTATGATAAACGATCAAGTAGGATAAATGTCAAGAAGACATTAACCATTCATAAAAATTAGAATTTATAGAGATAATTGAAGACCTGCTGTTTAATGACAACTATGGTCCAAAGTCAGTTGTACAACATAAGATCGTTTGTTTGACATCTGCAAATACATTTATTCAAACAAATATGCAAATATTGTATGAAAAATTAAATTTTATAAACGATCCATTTGAACTTATATCACTCATTCACTTACATCCCGTCATTGTGTTATTGTGCTATTTTAAATTTTGTATTCTTGCCTTTCATTTTTGATAATGTACTTTGTCTATATGCTTCTTTGTTACATATTTGTTTGTTTTTATAGTGATTAAGATTATAACACAATGTTGACTGCTGTACCCCTACTTGTGACATTTTTACCTATTATGTCTGTTTGTTTTGTTCACACATCGTTGTCAATATAATGGAAGTTGATGCGACTTTCATACAAGTGAGAGGTTTAGCTAGCTATAAAACCAGGTTTAATCCACCATTTTCTACATAAGAAAATGCTTGTACCAAGTCAGGAATATGACAGTTGTTATCCATTCGTTTGATGTGTTTGGGCTTTTGATTTTGCCATTTGATTAGGGACTTTCCATTTTGAATTTTCCTCGGAGTTCAGTATTTTTGTGATTTTACGTTTTGAATAGTTTTATCTAAAAGGTAATAATTTTAATACTGTATGAGGTTATTTTAATTGTCTTCATCTGTATTACGATTGATTGCAGTTTGAATAAACTGAAACACAACTAATAATATAAAACAAAACCCTGATTTATTGAAAACAATAAGATAAAAACGAACTACGACGGACAGCAACCATGATTACAACTTACCTCAGGATCCTGACTCTAGATAGCCACATATAGAATTGTTGGGGTTAAACGTTTTTGCAAGCACTTATCCTCCATACTTTGGCATAAATACAACAGCAAACAAATGAACAAATTGTGGAAAGTGCTCGACTCATCGGATCGACACGAAGCACAAAAAACAACAAACAAAATGACTCCCTACAGGTCTTGGTGAGAATTGTGCTGCTTAATCTTTCATTTTCTATTTAGTGCTTTGTAGATGGGGGTTTTATTATCATTTTCATGTGTTCTTATTTGCTTTTTCCTGTAGCCATAACTTTGAGTTTTTTTTATCAAATTGTGGTTTACGACTGCCTCAAAGGCATTTTCTCATTGTTGTTTAAGTTTATAAGATATAATGACTACGAGTACAATTATCATTAATAGAAATCACACTTTTACATGGTATGCAGACTCAAAATGAACCATTGCATTACTTTATGATTCACAATCATTTTGATTTTCATGTTCTGATTATCCTTACATTAACTAGTGATATGTAAAAGGTTACTTGAATTACCTAAACTTATGGACAGTAAGACAAGCATCATCAACCACCATGACCGCTTGGTTCCTTCGCCGAAAAAGATTTCCGAACAAACAAAAGCAAAAAAGAATGCATTGTCCATATTGTCAGAATTGGACAGGCACGAAAAACGGAAGGAGCGAGAATTCCATTTTCATATGAATATAAATATCAGAAGATGTTGTATGATTGCCAATGAGACACCTATCCACCCACCAGAGTTCAAATGACGAAGATAAATGCAACTATTGCTCACCGTACGGTCTTCACCAATTAGAAAAAAATCAATATCGAATAGTTAGCTATAAATCCAAATATAAAAATGTTTTTTTCTGGAATATTTTCATTCTTATTTTCAAGATGATTGCTGAAAAGGCGTGATTTTGACGTTTCCATGAGATCAACATATACTTGAAGTTTCAGGATATCAAAACATAAGTGGAGCTGCCATGTTGTCAACATATAAAAGAATAAGTTTAAAAATCAAAATATAAATATAATTGCGATGAGATTAATATAGAAATAAAATTGACATGATGGCAAAACATCACTGAACTGGCCCTAAGATCAACATTTAAGAAGGTTGTCTTGAGAACAATAGAATGTGAGGTTACCATTTGATGAACACGAATGGGAGATAACGACAAATCAATGCAGTTTCTGTGATATAAACATAAGTTAAAAAATAAATTACATGAAATTGACGAATTAACAACTTTTAAAAAGTGCGAATTCTATGATATTAACGCCATGATGATATACAATGATATAAAGATAAGTGTGAAGTTGAACTTGATTTTGGCATGACCTATACAACAGAACATGTTCATGATTGATGTTTATATTGTACTTGACGTTAAGTTGCCGTAAAATACATATGGTTTAATTTATGATGAATATAACTTGATATGAATATTAGTGTAAAGGTGCTACATTTTGAAATATTGTGAAGTTACACTCATTATACCATGCAGATGATGTTACAATCAGATACATTAACCAAAAAGATGACATCTGTCTCTCAAGAGGAAGAAAACTATGCCAGAATGGGCTTGTTACTGACAGGAATTTCTCTTCGTGCAGCCCGAGCATTGTTTGATAAAGAATTTCACCCTTCCTCTTTTAAAGCAGCGCTCAAAAAAGAGTATAACAAACTGCAGGAACTGAAGAAAAAACATGTTATAAATGAGCACCATTGGAATCTTTTATTTCCTAAGTCTCCTAGTAGGTATCAGTACTATTTTAGTGTTTTCATGTGCCTATACAAATGTTAGGAAGGGGCTATCGTTTCACCTGTATTAAGCCTTCTGTTCATGATAGGGTAAATGGTTAGTCCTGTTTACTCTCTCTATATTTTTAAAGCTTTTACTCTAAAATAATGAAAATTATTTGTAAAACTTACGGGAATACTTATTAAAGTATGTCCCATCTTCAGTTAGCTCGAGGTCAAAACATTGGAAAATCAACTTTTTTGTTTTTTCAGCGTCTTTTGTATTTTGTGGCTTGACTTGTGAGTTTTGTTTATCTTCCTCCTAGTATCCCAAGCAAATGAATCAGGCCATATGAATAACCCAAATAGTAATTACAGGACGAGCAACCTACGTCCATCTGGTGTTTTTATGCATACAGAGCTGGAAACCGAAATACATGCTTCACTGTGAGATGTTTCATATCTTGTTGTGTATACTGATCTCGTAAAATATTATAAACTGATAATAAAAATCATAAAAAAATCGACAAAATGAACAACAGTCTACAAAACGCTATTTAAAAAAAATTAAGACAAAGCTACACGAACCCTGCTAAAAAAGACTGCCCCGGAAGGGTAAGCAGATGCGACACCACATGTGGCATCAGTTGTGATTATTTGGCAAGTACAAATTGAGTGATGAGCCTCATTCGATGATTTCACAATCGAAGAAAAAGGGATATGATTTAGTTATCTGAATTGGAATATACGTGGCAATAAGTCACAAAGATAAAACAGAAGGGTTAAACAAATGTGTCAAACGAGTTTACTTCCATTTCACCTCAAAGAACCCTGAAATAGTTGACCAAATACTTTGTATAAAGAAATCTATATCATACGAACTTATAGATTAATTCTGCATTGGTTTTGATCCTAAGCTAAAGAGATTTACTTGGACAGATCTCACTGACAATGGAATCCTTGACTTATATCACATTAAAATTTATCAAATGTCCCTACCAATGCTCGGAACAACATGGATTGTATAATTTGTTTTATTCACCATATTATGTGTACTTGTTACTTAAGAATCTGGTATTGTTGAGATAGTCATTATTCATTATATTTTTCTTAATTTGGAACACCATTGAAAAACGAAAATATTTAAGTAAGAAGTTTTCAAAAAAAGAATTTTATTTCATTAAAATCTGTCGATTGTTCCTCGAAAATAAAAAAAAAAATCATTATTGTATATAACTTTGAATGCATTTCTTTATAAACAGGTGTTCCAAAGTCAGAAACCTTTGACCTTACTTTGATCATACTTTAATTGCGAAACTTGAAAGACTTGAAATCTCCACATGGTGGCTTTGACTGCCTTCCTACGGCAATTGAGACGACGCCTGCTTCTGATTTGGCGAGGATAAAGTATTACAGGAACTATATGGCCCATCGTCATGACGCCAAATTAGACAAATTTTTTTTCAACACTGCCTGGGAGGTAGTCAGTGAGGTTAGTGCTATACTATAAATATGTTTGTTTATGTTTTTATCAATATCAGAATATAGGTAATAGGTAAGTGTGGCAATGCTATTGGGAAAAGTTAGCTTGCGGCCAATCTTATGAACTATACTGTGTATCCCGCTGAGTCAAGATGAGACTTATCACCAAATTTGTACTGAACATGAACAACACGTCGAGTGCCAAATGTCTTGTTGAATCTGCTTAGTCCTCTGAGTTTTAGTGGATTCGTGTTTCTCAATCAATAGTTTCTAATGTAGTGTTTTGTATGTTGTTTTTTTTTCTTTTTGCCATGACTTTGTCAATTTCCTTTCGAGTTTTTTTGGATATCCCTTTTGCATCCTCCGCTTTTAAGTTTACTTTACAAATAATTATTTCATGACATGCTCTATTATAAAATGGTTGGGCATTATAATTGTCAATGTATTTATACAAAGCGTAAGCGAGGTGTAAAATAGTAACATATATAATGCCTACCCATGTTAAAACGAGCTAAGAGCATGGGATACTAGAAATTTTTCGATTCTGATAGGAATATCTAGAACTTTTGTATTTTGAGGCGAACCTATAATACCCATTCAGAAGGCAACTATTTCGATTTGATGAAGCCAATAAATGATAGAAAATAAACTGTTCACTTAAATACGTAAACTTACTTCTAGAATGATTTTATTTAATTTCCAAGTAAGCTTACAAATCATTTTTAATACGTCTGGTGCACCAAATTATAATAGATATAAGAAGATGTGGTATGAGTGCCAATGAGACAACTCTCCATCAAAGTAAAAATTTATAAAAGTAAACCATTATAGGTCACAGTACGGTCTTCAACACGGAGCCTTGGCTCACACCGAACAGTAAGCTATAAAGGGCCCCAAAACATTACTAGTGTAAAACCATTCAAACGGGAAAACCAACGGTCTAATCTATATAAAAAACGAGAAACGAGGAACACTTATGAACCACATCAACAAACGACAACTACTGAACATCAGATTCCTGACTTAGGACTGGTGCAAACAAATGCAGCGGGTTTAAACGTTTTAATGGTACCAAACCTTCACCCTTTTTCTGAAACAATAGTGTAACATCACAACATAGAAAGACACACTATAAAATATCAACTGAAATAGCTTAACTCAATCAAAGGACATATTAACACCATTGAACATACACTGAACAATGAAATTTGACCTAAGACACAATGTAAATACAAAATAAATAAACTAAGGGAAGAATAATAAAAGTAACATGTTATATCGGTAAGAAATGTTAAACAATTAAAGAAAAACAATATGCTCGAACAAAAATACCATCCATTTGCAATAACTTTAAACACAGGTAAATGAAAATAATTTTGTTGTCAGGTATACGTGTACAGTACCAATAGAGAAAGGAAATATTATTACAAAATAAATAATTTTGATGTTCATAGTACGAAGTGAAAATTTATAGTTATACCAAACACTTATAAAAGCTGGTATATAGACCAGATATAACCCTGAATAACATTAAATAATAAAAAAGCAATACAATTAGTATCAACAGGTCAAATAAACAAGAAAGTACGATTTGAGAGTACTCGCAGTTACTGACAGCTAGTTAAAAGCCAAAACAATTAATAATAAAAAATCATGCATCAGAGACTAAAATCAACTAAAACACATCCCAGGGATTTAGTATTTTAACGTCATGGACAGTCAAAGAAGACATGACTAGTGCAATGCCAAAAATAAATGTATCGACAGACAGTAGGATAGTTAGGAGTTTAACCTCTTTATAGATCTAAACGAACGTGGGTGTGTCTTTATACATCCCACTTGAAAAAAATACAAATTTAGTTTTGTTTTAATTTGCTGATGACAAAATCGATATTAGTGCCAATGTAAACTATATTCAAAGATCTAATTACAACATTGGTAAGATAACCTTTACTAATAAGCCTGTTTAAAGGTTCGATGAGTTTACACGGATCACATAGTGATTTCCGCGCTTTAAGTACAATATTACCGTAAAATTTAGGATGTGAAATACCGTTTTTAATCAGTTTTCTACAAGTACAGCCAAATTTACTAATCAAATCTTTGTATCTATGAAAGAACTTAGAAAAAGTTTTACGTAATTTATGGTAACGAAATCCTTGATTTAATAATTTACCAGTGATGCATTGATTACGTTCGTTAAAATCTATGACATCACTACACACACGGGCATAACGAACGAGTTGGGATATATATACACCGTATGATGGAGCCAAAGGAACATCGCCGTCTAAAAAGGAAAATTAACAATAGGGAATGAAAAATCGTCTCTTTTGTCGTAAATTTTCGTATGGAGTTTTCCTTTAGAGATTGAAATGTCCAAATCCAGAAAAGGACAGCTACTGCTGTTTATGTTAGATTTAGTTAAAGTAAGTTCTATTGGGTAAATTTCGGTAGTATATTTAGAGAACTCTGGATTATTTAACGAAAAAATATCATCTAGATAACGGAAGGTATTGTTGAATGTATCAACCAAATGTAACAATGACGTGTCTTTACTGAGTTTGGTCATAAACTGAGATTCATAGGAATACAGGAATAAATCTGCTCTTAAAGGGGCGCAGTTAGTGCCCATAGGAATACCTACTACCTGTCGATACATTCTATCGCCGAAACGTACATATATGTTGTCCAGGAGAACATTTAAAGCTTCAATCATATCTTCACATTTCCAGTAAGTGTATCTAGCATACTTTCCTTTTTCGTTACAGAAAAAGGCTTTAAACGAGTTACAGCAAATAAATTTGTAATGAGATTTTTCAAAAGACCATTTAATTAAATATGAAAACTTTTTCTTGATAAGATTGTGTGAGAGTGTAGTATAGAGAGTAGAAAAATCATAACTGTCAACAGAATTAAAAGGACCATCAAAAGCATGTATTTTATCTAAAACCTCTAAAGAATTTTTAACACTCCAAAAATAATCAATACCATTATTTTCATAAGCTTTATTACAAAAGTTAATAACAAGTTCTAAGTTATAAGCCTGGTATCTTTGCTGAGTTTCTATAGCGTTTTGTCAGTATGATCTATATAACCGATTCAATGGTGGACAGTTAAAACAATATGTGGGAGACAAAATAGATAATTTCTAATTCTAATATGACGTTCTTCTTTTGCTCTGGAAACAAAGCCATATTCTTATTCCAATGGAACATGAGCTGCGCTTGATTGACGTCTCAATTGAAATTACAACGTCAATTATAGTTTTGACATCGCCGGAGATATAATGAGCATTTACATTTGTTGCTTACTTGGAAATTAAATAAAATCATTCTAGAAGTAGGTTTACGTATTTAAGTGAACAGTTTATTTTCTATGATTTCTAGATCTGGGAAAACAGTTTGTGATCCAATAGCTTCGCTTGTAAAATAATCATATTCAATGAGAACCATCATATAAAATTGAGAATGGAAACGGGGAATGTTTCAAAGAGACAACAACCTGTCCAAAGAGCAGAAAACAGCACAAGACCACCAATGGGTCTTCAACACAGTGAGAAAATCCTGCACCCGTAGAAGGGCTTCAGCTGGTCCCTAAACAAAAATGTGAACTACTAGTGCATATGCATATCAAAGACAATGTATTTAGTTAAAAACAATTATCAAAGATACCAACAGGAACCGATAAATGAGATGCATGCGAGGTGTATGGTTCGTGCAGTTAACTATATTTACAATTTTCAAGCTAGAACTTTGTAAAGTTCAGTATTTTAGTACATACAATATGGATGTAAATTTTGTCAGGAGTTTAATTCTGTAAAACTTTACCACAAATAACTGGATTTTAAACGTTGTCATTTATTGGAAATTGGGCATACGGGTTCATATTTTGTCCAGCTAACTCCTTCTATAGTTTTCTGGATAGAACATTAGTATTATGCAGTATGTTATTGCATATGTGTAATGGTAATCAAATTGACAGGATTCTGTTTTTCTAAAAATATTCCATAAATGACAGGAGGTTATTTGTATACACATTTATCAACACCTGACAAACAATTCTGTGTTTCACTGTGGTTTAACAATACAGTATGACTTTTCATCTGATAAATATGAATTATCGTGCACGTGATAAAGCACTTTTCCTCATGTTAATTTTGCAAAACTTATTGTGAGGCTGGGGAAGAACAACAAACACCTACATTGTGGTATACATCTTAACAATGGCGCAGGCATCAAACGTGCCTTACGGGCGCAATCATTGCAACATCGCTCTTGTTTAATGTTCGCAGAACAGAAATAATGCATACGACGGGGTCAAAGTGCTTTTCTTGTTAAACAAAACATAAGTTGTGCATGTTGTAAGAATCTGTCTGTTTGAAAGTAAGACAAGTGCAGGTAAACAATATTTACAACGAAAGAGATAACTCCAATTTGAATTCTTGCTGAAATGGGCTATACTCAGCATTATACATGTTAAGTTTAAATTATAACAAAATGAAAACAATTCTCACTATTCAGTCTCGCACACACTTTGATTACAAAAGTTTATCAAGAGAAAAAAAAAAGAAGAAAAAAACAGTTGGAAACTAAGGTAGAGGGTATTTAAAGCACGAATATGACCAATTAAAAAACTAATTATTTTATGTAAAACAATTGATTTGATTTGACCATATGTCATTTTGTAACTTAGCTTCATTTTTACATTTTTTAGGCAGTCGGCAGATTAGGCGGACATTCAATGAGGCACGAATGTGATCAACTAAAGAGTAAAACACTTGAACGTAAAACAAATGAGGTTATTAACGAGTTAAAACAGTCAATAGAGAGTCACAAGGCCAAAATGAAAAGCACTGTGAAGAGGATGAAAACTTCTTATAGGATTGTAGTTCATGAGAAAGCAAAAGGTAATTGTATAGTACTTTATGAGTAAACAAACGATGAACCAAAGTTAGCTCTATACGATCGTATTGTTTTATAGATTGCAAAGGTCAATGTATTATTTCTATTATGTAGGTTTTTTACAACACTGACTACACATAAGGGTCTCGCAAGGTCGAGAATGAATTATTTATAGTGTAATTTTGATTCTTGGCACGAATTCAAAAGGTAAAGAGTAAAATAACAAAAATACCAAACTTCGAGGAAAATATTAAAGGAAAAGTCCCTAATCAAACGGCAAAATTAAAAGCTCAAACACATCAAACGAATGGATAACAACTGTCATATACCTCACTTGGTACAGGCTTTTTCTTATGTAGAAAAATGGTGGATGAAACCTGGTTTTAAAGCTAGCAAAACCTCTCACTTGTATGACAGTCGCATCAAATTCCATTACATTGACAACGATGTGAGAACAAAACAAACAGACATATAGGTAAAAATGTCATGTGCAAATTTTCACATGAATTGCACGGGAACTTTACAAAAAAAAAATGGTATTTGTCATGATTTTTATTAAATTTGAAAATTTAGATGTTATTTGATTAACTTTATTTTAAAATATCACGTGAATTTCACGTGAAAAAAAAATCATGTGATTTTCACGTGAAATTCACCCGAGTTTCACATGAGATTTAAAACTCTCATTAACTGATTTCATGTGAGTTTCACTAATAACTCTTTTGAGGTGAAATTCACGTGAATTTCAAGTGAGATTCATATGAATTTAAATTCACGTGAGTGAAATTTCCATGTGTACAGTAGTCAACATTGTGGAATAATCTTAATCACTAAAAAACAAAACAATGTATGATAAATAAAGGTTTCCAGTCATTTTAGAACACAGAATGTTACATTTTAATTTCACATTTTTTCAAGATATAATATTAAAAAACAAAAATCAACAATAAGCTAATAATACAATAATGGTTCATCGGAGAAATAACTTTATTGATTGTATTAAAACTTTTAACTTAATCATACAATTTTAAAATTGAACATTATAATATTTGTTTTGTATCGAGGATATCCAGCTAGACCGCATGTAGTTTACCTTGCAGTAGTTTAACATCAGCTAAAAATGTAGTTAACATGCCAAACTTGGGTTTTTGCCCAGATTAAGGGGTTTACTGGACTCACTTATGTGATTGTATGAGATGGGCAGGGTGTATTTTAAGAGTTTATGCAACATGTTAAATACATTTGAATTTCTTCGTAATATAGAGCAAATGTAAGCTGCCTCTAGAAGTGTCAGTTGTCCAACAAAAAAAAAGAAAAAGAAACCTCACCAACCACCTATACACAGCTTCTCTGAAATTGAGTTATATTTTGACGATTCCGGAGATCAAAATAAATATGGTAGTTGCTTGCTATAGATTTAAATAGTATTATTTAGAAATAACCAAATATATATATATACCCTTTTTTGAACTTGACTTAAACGCGCTGAGCCAGCTGATATTGACGTGCTAGCTCACAAACCTAAGGTTATAGTCTACAGGAAACATTCTTACATACCACAACACATCGTTGCAACTCTATCTTCTCCGGAGGGTTCAAGCATGGCGTAGAAGCAGCAAGTAACACTTTTTAATTTTCGAGTTTGATCTGATCATGAAAAAAACCTATATGAGTTGTTCTGAATACGCAAAATATGGGAATTAATATTATTATTTTCAGTGAAACAAAAACTAAAGTCCGTGCAAGAACAAATAGCAGCTGAGCAAGATGAGGTGATTCCAAAACATATTAGAGGTATTTTATCATACATATTATATCATGCTACGAAGGCGGGAAAGTACTGCTTAACTCTTTTTATTCGAGAGCCACAGATGAGTCTTGTGCAGAAGAAACACGCTTCTTGTGTACTTACATACAAGCCGGATATCTGTGATGAGTTTTTACGTCTACCCATACGCAAACAATATGGTTCGTTCGCGCGTCCCCTTACGATTTCACAGCAACTGCAAACCAAATCTCCATGATATTATATCACTTATACAAGATGATATCATGCATTCACCTAGTCAAATCATTGGTCAATTTACCATTTTCCTTCCTCAATATCCATCCATCTGTTTAAAACTTCTGTTGCATATCAATCTGTTTTTTTTATTATCGTATTAACTTTATAATGAAACTACTGCAAGGTAATATGAATAAAGGCAACAGTAGTATACCGCTGTTCAAAAGTCATAAGGAACTATTTTTTCTGCAGTCACTTAATATTTGAGAATTGATAATACTTTGAAACTTTATTTCGCCGACTGTGCATGGAATTTTTTATCTCGTATTCTTAGGTTATATGCTTGAAGAAATTATTTGATATTTGGTCTGATTTGTTATGATGTATTGCCAAATTTCTAGGGACTCATTACTGTTTGCCAATACATTGAACAGGATGACACGAATCATATCAAAGACTGCACAGTACAATAATCTAAATTATTCATGAATTTATCGTCAATCTCTTATAACAAGTGGGAGTATACATTGCACTACATAATGGACAATTCCTTCTTCTGTTTCAAGCCTCATATTGGCAATATATATATTGTAAGTATGTTCAGACCTGTCTAATTCCCATCCCCTGTTTATCATATACATTATACAAAAAAGGGGGAAACCAGGATTCGCTACACAGTACACCAAACTACTTCAAAGATAAACATGTGTGACATTTTCTCATTAATAAAATATTTAGCTAACAAGCATTATACTAGTTTGCTGTACCATGTGACACATGTTAAGATCCATCACTTATCTGCTCCCTATTTGGCAGACTCATGTCTGTTCATTACATCGATGAATGTAAAAGGAATAGATATTTCCAACATATTTGTCTGAAAACTGCACATCAGAGCTTTTGATATTGTGGTATCAAGTTTCATAAGTGAAACCTATGACCAGTGACACATTTCCTAATTTGTCATGCGTTTACACTCTGTTTCAATCAAACGTTCATCTAATTAACCTAAATGTACACAGATGAAATTTTCGACACATTTTTCTCGATAAGCTAATTATTTGGTTATTTGCTTTTCAAGTCTGTGTCCTCATTTTTTCTTCCTCATTATTTGGCAAAACAATTTCCTTTCACTCTAGAGCTAGCAGTTACTCTCACTTCGTGTTGTTTCATCAATCCCACCCGATGGGTTGACAGGGGTACACAAATACGTTCATCCCTTTGACTTCTTATGTCAAACAGTAAAACTCTTATAATATTATCATTGGTTTCCGTTTAGCTGCACGGGTTGTGCAGCAACGTCCGGTAGGAATGTAGATAAAATATTATGCTTCGTATAGAATGAGAATGCCATGCTATATGTGTGTTAAAAAATCCTTTGCTGTAATAGTTTAGGGGTTGGTCGTTTGTGGCATGTTGCAAATATCATCATTTGACATCCTATAGAAGTTATTATCCTTAAGTGACGGTTCTTCTTTTTCTTCTTCCGAATACCAGATCATGTAGACTCCTAGGTAGGAGTGTAAAACTTCCCGGAACTATGCTCCATGTACTTATTGACTTAAATAAAATGACTATAAACAATAAAGTAAATTAGGTTGTTACCAATCGGTATGCGTCTTTCTGATATGATCATGAACTTTATAACAGAAAGAAGCTTAATTACTAGAAATACCAGCTGGAAAAGACCAACGTATTAGTAAACATCAGCCGTCAGTTGACCCTCGTAGAACCATGAGGATTTGCTCCCTTTTTTGTTTATTTGAATAGATGAGATCAACACGGTCGCCAAAGATTTAATTATTTAGTGAGATTATATTATCGTTATAGCAGGATGTCAGTTTCGGATACGTTACGTAAGCTTCTTTTTATTCTTCATGAGAATCTGCTGTATACAGTCTGTGTCATACGAAAAACAAAACAAGTTGGCAGATAGAGGAGCACATTGGTTTCAATAGAAATGCCATGGAGGTATAGAGAGAGGGTTGAGATCTCACAAAACATGTTTAACCCCGCCGCAATTAAGCGCCTGTCCCAAGTTAGGAGACTCTGACCTTTGCTATTCTTGTATGTTTTTGCAATTTTGGTCCATTTATATGTTTCGGAGTTTAGTGTGACGTCCATTTTTGCTGAACTAGTACACAATATTGTTTAGGGGCCAACTTAAGCCCGCCCCCGTATGCGGGATTTTCTCGCTGTGTTGAAGACCCTTTGTTGGCCTTGTGTTTTTGCTCTTTGGTCAGGTTGTTGTCTATTTGACACATTCCCCGTTTTCATTCTCAATTTTATGATTGTTTTTTAAACATGTCGTCAAAACGTAACGAATAAGGTGTCAAAAGAATCTAGCATCTTAATAAATCAGTCTCAGAAATGTTTGTTTGAAACAGTGTTTTAAAGTACGACTTATCCCTTCCTAAAACATAATATTTGTATTTATGTTTATCATTCAAAATAAATGTTCATATTAAAAATTTTTTGGTGCCAAGCGAAATGATGTTGTTACTGTATACCTTGTGTTTTGAAATGCTAGAACACACGGCAATATTATTGAATTATTTAAGTTAATAATACTCCGAGTGATGAATTGTTTAGATTTAAAGGCCTTGGATTGAAAATCTTTGATTAGTGGACGTTACTGTGTAGTTTTAGGAAATGAAAGCCTCGATGGGTATGATAAATGTTGATATGTTAATTCGCCCAAAGAAGAATCGTCCCGTAATGCATATCACTGACTTCCATACAAACTAAAAATTATATTTAGACGAAAAACTTTTCACTTACTCACAAAAAATACTGCAAAGAGGTGTAGTAGTTTTTTTTTTTTTGAAGATCTAGTCCACATGCTGTATCCGTCATGATGATCAAGCATGTAACAATCTGGTAGTAAATCGCTTTAGGTAGTGTCAGAATCCAAAAGATGAGAACGATTGATAACACCAGGTGGAAACAGATCCGTTTTCAAATGTGACACAGATATTCTATAACGGTCAACCAAACCATGATGACCTATGTAAAACTTTACCCTTTTTGGCTGCTTCAGCTTCATTGTCACGAACACTCTGTCATGGAAATAATAATAGGACATGCAAGCCCTGGAATATTGTATCAATTTGGAGATATATACTCTGTGGCAGGCGCTGCTGGGATGCTGCTACCTAGGAAGGAAGAGTTCACAATTGAAAAATTAAAATCATCTCTGTTGTTGTAAAATTTAATTCTCACCCGCCCTCATTGTCAATTTCTAGATGTGAGTCAGGATTTGAGGCAGACGTTATTATATATGCTTTATTCTTGATCTCAAGTTAATAGGAATAGATGCAGTCAATATTGTCACTACATGTTGAATTATTCAGTGAAATCCTCTAAATATGGAACAACAAATTTATTTCTTTAATTTTACTTTCCGCTATACAGATGATTTCCTTTCATTGAAAAATACGAATAAATTGAGGTTTTGGTAATGATTTTAAACTTACCTAAACATTTTTCCAAATGACACATTATATGTCAATCATATTTAGTGAGGCCCAAGCGCTTTTGTTGAGAACAGCTTGATGACATACTTCATAACCTTACCACATTTTTATTTATTATAACTAACAGCTCAAATTTTAATATCTGAGAGGCAAGCATGCACAGAACAACTCTGCAAAGTTTCATGGTGACATCTTTTATACTTTTAAATATATGAATGTTTGAAATTAGCTCCAGAGGCGATTTTCAATAAGCAAAAAAGTGATAAATGTCCATTTTAAAACTTTAATTCAACAAAAAAGTAAAACAGCAATTATACACCAAGTTACAGTTTTCTATACAAATATAAGCAAACTGATGAAACAAAATAAATTATGCTTGTGTGAATTAAAAGAAGGAAGATACATGATTTTAAATATGTGAGAAAAACAAATATCAAAGTATTAAAAAAAACTAAGTTCATGTGTCCAAATAATTTTTTTTTATTTCAATAAAATATAAGACATTATTGTTAAAATTATGTCATATTTATCACCAAATAACAGAATCTTACAATAAAAATCATTTCAATAATTGTATCTTATCTAAATTAGCAAAATAATTTTTTGATAATAGCAAAAGGAGGTAATAAATATTTCAAGATTTGTATAAACAATAGCAACTTTTGCATTTTATTTTTTTCTGAAATTCTACAACTCTAAATTAAGGGAAACAAAATTAAATATTAACGATAATTATTTCTACGTATTATTTGAAGTAAAAGCTACAATTTAACATAAAGTTAAGAAAAAAATTGCAAAGAGTTTGAAATATCTTTACCTTGAATTAATTACACACTGAACAAAAAATTTCGAAAAATATTTATATATTGATTCGATCGCAATTCTATTAATCACTTTTTTAAATGAAAGCATTGATATGATAGTTTGTATTATTTTATATCTCATAAATTCTTTTTCAATAAATAAATAAATAAATGAAAACTTCTTAAAAAGGAGAGATAATTCATTCCATCAGAATTCATCAAATTAAAAAAAATATGTTAAAGTTTTCTTTTCACAATACAAATTATGTAAATATATATTTCTTTTAAACCTGAGTTACACAGGTAAATGTATATAGATTTCCATTGTCTTTTTTTTTCCATAATGAGTTTGGAAACACGTTTTTCGTTTGCAGCCCGATCAGACATTCTGGCACCAATACGGGATATTGAAAAACTGTCCTCATCATTGTCTAACCCTAATTTATTTGCTAATCCACTCAATTCATCTAACTGATCTTGTAGTTGCTTAACAGTATCATCAGCTTTTCCTGAACTTACTGGACTTACAGTTAAAGTAAAAAATTTAGGATTATTTGGATCGTCATTTGGTAAGAGCTTTACTGCATGTGCACCCCAGTGTATAAGATTTTTTGTCGTTCCGTCAGACTGATGACACAGCATTGTTTTTTCTTTAGACAATTCATATGCGGTTCTGATTTTTACCAACTCCCCTGCCTCGGAAACCATACGTTGCGCAGTTGATCGACTAGGTAGTTTAAGCTTTGTAGTATCATATACCATAATATTTTCCAATACAGTACGTACAACCGACTGGATTGTATTTGCAGAAACACCTTTTGTTAGAAGATCATAATATAATAACTTGACCTCTCCTTTATATTTTCCACCAGATTGTGTTTCTAAATTTTTCATTTCTTCAATTTTCATTTTTTGCATTTCACTATTAAGCTAATTTTGATTTTTGAGGTTTTCAACTATACCATTGTAGTACAGTTTCATTGATTCTGTGTCTGTTTCAAATTTATTGTATGCTTCGTGCAGTTCAGACTTCAGTCCCGATATATTTTGGTTTCTCCTTTATACTTTCTTTTTAGTTCTTTTTAAAAGTTTATTAACCGAATGCAATTTTTGCTCAACTTCTGATGTTTTATTTTCCTTTTCATCTGCAAGATCAAGTGATTTACTCACAACATTTGATAAACGGCCAATTTCTTTTTTCATCGTCAGTAGCTGCTTTCGTTGATGGGTAGATATCAATTTTAATGATTTCAGCTCTTTTGATTTTTTTGAAAGATCTTGGTTCTTTTTCTTTAATTTATTAATTTGCGAAATTACATTCTCGCTAACTCCACTTAACCTTTTTTCTTTTTGATTAGTTCAGCTTTCAAATTATCATTTTGCAACTTAATTGAATTTATCTTGGCGCTATGTGACTTTAAAATTGTTGCCTGTTTTGATACATTCTTTGCTAAATGTCTGTTTCTATGTACAATTCTTGCTTCATCAACACTACATGTATCATTGGACGTCACTTTAATGTTTACACAGTCACAGGTAGAAGATGTGTCTGTTTTAGCTTTAGTAATTTCATTTTGAAACGATTCTTTCTTTTCTTCCGGCAGAACATTTAGAAAACTTATAAGTTTTTCTTTAACTTTTGTATCATTTCTGGCATTGAAGCACTTTTGCAATTCCTTAAAATTTTTTTGTCTTCTGTGAAAGAGCGCCCATATAGCTTTTCCATTCAATGCAGTTTTTGTAAAGTGAGAAAGCCAAACAGTTGCAATGTCAATCCATTTGTCAAATGAGGAACTTCATTTCTTAACTTTTAAATTGTAAATTTCAAAATTCTTTTTGCTGTATGTATTAAACATATGAATTGTCCAGTAGTTAGGTTTGAGAAGTAATAGCATGAGCCGTCTGACGCAGTGTTACTGAGGTCATATAAATTCTCTGGATGCTTAATTGGCCAGTTCGGGATCGGATCTTCAAAGTCTTCAAGTGTAAGGCTGGTTAAGGTGAAAACCAGATGGGAGTAAACTGAAAGAAAATAGATAAAAATAAAGAATAGTCATAAAAACTGCATGCTATATTTTTTTTCAGGAGAGATTGATATTCTAGGATAAATCGTTCATAATCTTTCATTGAAAATACACATGCACATGTCGGTACATGTACAGTCAGGCCAAAATAAATAGTGTTTCCTATTTCACTTGAAAAAAAATTTGGTAGGGTAGTTAGGTAAAACATTTTAATATATTTTCTGAACTGGATAGGTGAAGATTGATCAGTTGTATGGAATAGTTAATGGTTTACTAGGTTAAGATAGAACATTGTTTTTTTATTCAGCCACTGTCAACTTCAAGTAAACCTGAACCTCCCCCTTTTTCCTCCCTGATTTCAAACATTTATGATTTTCAAAGAACAAACATTTATTGATTGAAATTGTAACTCATGAGGGTACTTGTGGCTAATCTATGTAACCTTGTATCAAAATAAAGCGAAATATGCAATGTCGAATATAAATTTTCATTGCGATTGTCAACTTCCGGTTTCCATTTTCGGAAAATTCACTGACACCCTCGCGACTAAATTGACTCGTGCAACTTCAATTTTTGTCCAATCTTGTAATGTTATACATCATTTTCTTCGGGAATAATAATTACTTTCATCTGTGAACGCACTAAGATGTGCTGCCTGTTGTAAGTCGGCAAATCACAAAAAACTTACCAGCTCTGAACCCCATGATCGAATTTTCTGGTGCGACATCCCAAACAATTCTGATACCGCATTCTTCCCGTTAAACCCGTTTTCATTGGTCGAAATGCAAAAGGCTCGCCGCACAGCGCCAATGAAAAATATTGTTTTAAAACAAAAGCGTAAACACCCGCTTAGGATTAATATAGATTAATCTATAAATAAACCGTAATCGACGAGACGCTAATCGATCGATAACCGGAATGCTCTGCATCTGCAACTTCATCACCTCATAACTTTTTTACTTTTTTACCAATTTTGATGAAACTTTGCAGACAAAAAGAATAAATACTGTATAAGACAAATGTATTTTTTTACGAAAATCGATACAAGTTTGAAAAAAATACAATGAGTAGAAGTTCACTTTAAAACTACCGCTCCCAGATTCCCTGTAAATATTTAGATTTTTTGTGGATGGGCCTCACTATCATATTGAAAGGTACCAATTGTACTAATCAGATGCACATTTCGACAATGCATGGCTCTTCACTGATGATTGAGGCCAATATATTTGAAAATCAAAACGTAATCAAAATGTTAAAGAGTTATATAATCGAAAGGAACATAACACATTGCCTTATGCAGACTAGGTTTGATCTGACAAAGTTCAGTTTTACCATTAAGAAGTGAAAAATAAAATCACAAAATACTGAACTCCTAGGAAAATTCAAAAAGGAAAGTCCTTAATCAAATGGCAAAATCAAAAGCTCAAACACATCAAACGAATGGATAGCAACTTTCATATTCCTGACTTGGTACAGGCATTTTCTTATGTAAAAAAAATGTGTATTAAACTTGGTTTTAGACCTAGCTTAACCTCTCACTTGTATGACAGTCACATCAAATTCCATTATATTGAAAACGATGTGTGAACAAAACAAACAGACATAATAGGTTAAACTGTCAAAATGTTCTTTATTTATTTTAAAATCGATGTATAGGGGCGATTTGCTAAAAACTATCTCAATTGTACTGTCAAAGGGTGTCAAATGATAAGTTTGACATCTTAAAGACTATTGAGTTAAAAAGTTGAGGATTTAAACTAAATCTTAATCGGAGGGAGCTAGATCTTACATAGAAGATTTAAGCACTTTTGGAATTCATGAAATTGTCATCCTTTCCAGTATTGTTGATAATTGTAGACCATTGTAATTTTTAAAGGTAACTAGATCAACAAGTCATGGTAGAGTGAATAGGATGTATTAAGTTCAAACTGTCATTTTGTATACTTGCAAACAACTGCATAACACCAAGATACTTCATTTTGGTCACAATCTCTATGTCCTTAGTCCACAACGTTATGGTTGTATTGTTTCAGAATGATTAAACGGTTGGTAGTATTCCAATCATTTCTATTGGGGTTTTTTTTCAGAGCAGATGAAAGAACAAATTAAAGACTGGCAAAAGAAAGATGATATGTTTGTGGCTACGAGAGCGAGTGATTACGTCATCAAATGTTTAGAGAATCACAATTGTGTGACCTTAACTGCCCCAGCAGGAGTTGGAAAATCATTTATTGCAAGACATACAGCATTGATTTTGCAGAGGAAAGGATATAAAATAATTCCAGTGTATTTTCCAATAGACATTAGAAATTATTATCAACCTGGTAAACACACAGTCTTCATTGTTGATGATGTTTGTGGAAATTTCACTGCCAACCAACAACAAATTGAGAGTTGGAGACAACTATTACCTCTGTTAAACACGATTATAGCAGACAAATGTTGTAAGATTATTGTATCTTGTAGGTTACAAGTCTATAAAGATGATAAATTTAATATATTACCCCCTTTTAAATCATGTGAATGTAATTTAATATCAGATGAGCTACGGCTCATATCTGAAGAGAAAATACAAATTGCAAACATGTATATGGGTACAAGGTGCGAGGGTCTGAACGAAGTAGCAAAGCAGTGTGAATTCTTTCCACTTTTATGTTATCTTTATCATGACAAGGGAGACGTTGATGCGACAGAATTCTTCAAAAATCCATTTGATGTTTACAAAAATGAGTTAGACAATCTTTGTAGGCATGGTGAAGAAGGAAACTATAAAGTTTGCAGTCTTGCATTATGTGTTCTATTAAATAATCAAAATATTGTAAAATGGTTCCGTGGCAAAGTTACAAGTGAACAACGAAAGATTATAGAAGACACATGTGAGGCCTGTAAATTGAACAAAAATACACCAAAAGCAGTACTTAAAGAAGCACTTGATACTCTAGATGGTACATTTATACATACACAGAACGGTATTTATAGGACTTTACACGATAAACTGTTTGACTTCCTTGCTCATTACTTTGGTCATAAAATGATTGAATGTTTAATAGATCATGGTGATAGTGATTTAGTACGCGAACGTTTTCTCTGGCAAAAATCACCAGATGACAAGGATAATGTAGACTTCATCATTGAAATACCAGATGAATATATAGAATCTTACTTAGAAAGGTTGATAAAGGACTGGTCGTTTGGAAGGGTGACATGTGTTTTTGATAACACTAATTTGGCGGTATCATCATTTAGACAACAGTTAGTACGGTACTTACTACAACTAGACAAATCGCAACAGGTAGCTTTGGCCAGTACCAAGGATACGGCGATACAAAAAGGGATCTATGGATCAGGTAATACTCCACTGATATTGTCTTGTTATCTTGGTTTCACTGATATGGTTCAATGGTTGTTACATAATGATGTGGATGTGGATCAGTGTAGGGATGATGGGGTCACTGGAATGTACATGGCATGTCAGGAAGGGGAAACTACTATTGTAAACATTTTATTAGATAATAATCCTAACCTTGATCTATGCGACAATGAAGGTGTCACTGCACTTTACTGGGCATGTTATGAAGGCCATACTGCTATTGTGAAGATGATAATAGAGAAGAATCATAAAGTTAATATATGTAACAATAATGGCCGTAGTCCTCTGTACCGGGCATGTCTGAATGGACATACCGATATTGTAAGGTTGCTGTTAGAGACTGATGCTTATGTTGACCTCTGTGATAACTTTGACTGTAGTCCTTTATACATGGCAAGTCAGAGTGGACACACTGATATTGTGAGGCTGCTGTTAGAGAGGGATGCTAATGTAAATCTATTTGATAAAAGTGGCAATAGTCCCTTGATACAGGCATGTATGAACGAACATATTGAAATAGTAAGGTTGCTGTTAGGGAAGAATCCTAATGTTGATCTGTGTAACAATGATGGCAGTACACCATTGATAAGGTCATGCATTAAGAACAACATCAGTATAGTACAGTTGTTAATTGATCATAAACCAAACATTAATGCCCAGACATATGATGGTGGAAATGCTTTATATTTCAGTGCATTGAACGGAAACGAAAGAATAACTCAGTTACTGTTAGAGAACAATGCTGACTGTAATATTTGTATCCATAGTAAACAGTGTATAGCATATACACTAACTAACCATCCAAGGATAACATTAGAGCAAGAAAAACAAGCATTCTTATATAGCTTTGATAAGAGCACATCTTCAAATCTAAAAGATTATGTCAGAAAGAAGTCAGTAGATTATGCATTTGATGTAGTAGCTGGTTCTACCCCATTGCACATCGCCTGTTTTATGGGTAGGACAGATATTGTTCGTTGTCTTCTGGATCACAGTGCTAACATCAACTTGGCAAAAGAAGATGGCACCACGCCATTGTTTTATGCATGTGAAGTAGGACATCATGACATCGTACGTATATTGTTAGATAAAGGAGCAAATTTAGAAATGTGTAGACTTGACAGGAAATCTCCTTTAAACATCGCAACAGATAATGGACATCACGGTGTGGTGGAGATGGTAGCAAATTACCAATCAGCATAAACATTCTAATGTTGGTTCTGTTCAAATGTATTAGGGCTGTGTAATTTTAATAACCCAGTAAAACATTTACGTTCTACCATTTAAGTTTTTTTGTATTGTCTCTAGATTCCAAGTTACTAAATTCAACAGAGCGTGTTTGTACAATCCATAGACACGGTAAGATAGTCATGTGTTGTGTAAAGTTTTCCTTTTATAGAACAATTTAGTATCACTCTTTTTTCATTCACCAGCTGATTGTGACTTTTTTGGTAAAACATTTTCAAGAAATCATTGATTACCAGTAGTGCTGAATGAGCAGGGACAATGCAAATATCAATTTTGCGGTCATATAATATCAAGTGAACAAAAAAAAACCCACACAAAATTAGACAAAAGTGTGAATGATATCACCAAATTAAGAAAGAACCCAAAGGTTACTATGTAAATTTCAACATAAGATCTGACCTCACCAAATGCGGAAACACAGGTTTAATGAGAAGGAACGGTTGATCGGACATCTCATAATGGAGAAGAAACAAAAGTAATGAAGTATCAATAAATTATGAGACATAACCAAATAGAGAAAAAATACAACAAATCAGAATTGACAACACGTATGAATTTGACAATAGAATATTTGACAAAATCAAACGTATCAACAACTAAATGGTATTGAATAAAATGTGAAACCACCAAAAACTATGAAAATAAGAAAAGAAGATCTGATATCATCAAAATGTGAAACCAGCAGAAAGAATAAATATAAGAACAGAAGATCTGACATTATCAAAATATGAAACAACCAGAAAATTTGGAAAACAGAAGATTAGACATAAACATCAAAGGTAGGAAAAACATATGTAACAAAGACACAACCATAGATCGTAGATCACTTGATGAAATACCAAAAAACAAAACGAAAAAAGGGGACACTTCAAGATTTGACTTCAAAACCAAATGGGTACAAACACAAATAGTACTATAGTGACAGACAAAAATATATCATTTCATAATGAAACCAATAACATGAAACATACCAAGTTCACAAGCAAAGATTTGACATGACCAAATGGGTAAAAACACAAAAATTAACGTAGTTTCAATAAAAGACATGATTGCTGCGACTCAAACGTTATGAAGTAAATAAAAAAAACAACCAAAAAGAACCAACGTCCACACCTGGACAAAAAAAACCAGAAAGTCGCAATGTTTTGACATTTCAAATCTAAGAAAAACAAAGGAAAGTATTTTGCCAAAAGTATCAAATCAACAACAAACAAATGGGCATAAAAAATAAAGAGGGAATAACGCAGATCTCACATTGCCCAATAGAAAAACTAAAAAAGAATGATGAAACGAAAACCAGATTATGACATCATCGAATAACAGACATAAACACAAAAGGAAGTGATGCCTGATGATCTGACACCTCCATTTGAAGAGAATCAAAGTAATGAAATGACAAAGATATGGCATTACAGAGGTAAAAAAATGGAAATTTTTGCATCAGTATGAAAAAGACAAAACAAAAAGAAAGGAGCAAAATGGCAACCAGAAGTGGGACATTACCAAATGAAGAAAAGCGCACACAAAAGTATCAAGATGAAGAACAAAGATCAGATATCAGATATCAACCAAAAATTCGAAAAAAAACACAAAAACACCAAATTCACGAAAAAGAAATTAAATGTAATCCGAAGATCTGACATCACCATATTGAATACAAATTAAGACAAGCGTTATACGAATTGCTGACTACAAATAAGTACTGTAATGAGATTAATCACCCATCTCATCATTCAGAAGATTACAATTAAAACAGATTTCTAAGAAACAAAGGCTGGAGTGACATACGATATATAATACGAAATTCATAATGCATATATAGTCTTGTGTCTGCTTTTGGTATTATTTTTATATCAATTGAGTGTTTTCTCGTCTATAATATAGATATTGTGTAATACAAATTTGGGAATATTTATTAATTAAGAGATAAATCTCCCTCACGCAAAGCTCTGAATTGTTGACCGGCTTTTGTTATATTTTTTGTCCTTTTTAATTCATAAACTCGTCATTCTTTTAATAAGTTTTAGATTTTCCAATGTTTGGCCTTGAGTATCACAGGAGATACATTTATTGTCGAAATTCGCATCTGGTGTAAAAACATTAGTACCTTTAATATTATTAGTACTTATTTTTAGACACAGTCTCTTGATGTGCAAGATTCAAGATTGTATTTGAACACTCAGACACAGATACATGTGTAACATGAAGTCATTAATTATAGCATTACATAAACATGACGAAGTAAACATGTGGAATCAATAATATAGATATAGCATATAGATATAACAATAATATACCAATATGTTTTCCTACTTTTCAGAACATTTTGGAAATGTTTTTGATAAATACAGAAAGTCGTTTATACAGTTGTACAATACATATTGAGAGAAACCTTCCATTTTTTGATAATTATGATTCACTTTGTAGTAGCTTGGTAGAAACTTTTCCCTTAGATCAACAATATTTTGATTAGTACATTTAAATAACAATTGAAGTTCATCACCAATATTACTCTTACACAAAGTACATAGTTACTCTATCATGTCTCGAACTATTTTGCCATCTGCCTGTTGTTTTATTCGAGCGTAACTGATGAGTCTTTTGTAGACGAAACGCGCGTCTGGCGTAAAAACAAAATTTCTATCCTGGTATCTATGATGAGTTTATTTTCAAAAGGCAGACGCAAGCTTGAACACCTAAACTATGTGATCCAAAGCCTGCAATATTCAGGAAGTTTAAGAAGGTATGTTTCTAAAGTAAACTCTTTTAACTCTTTAAATAAGGATTAAATTACCACACACCTTGAAGGACTAAATCCATCTACATCTTTTCGTACCAGATCTTGGTGTTCCTATTTTTGTTTTAGTTTCTATATTTTTATTTTCTTTATGCATGGAGTTTTTTGTAATAATCAACATTTAGTCTTCGTTTGTTCATTGTATACAATTGTATGTTTTATTATTCATCTTTTATACTTGGTGATCATTGTCAAAAAATATGCATGTAATAATTCCAATATATTTAAAACAAGCAATAATTATTTGAATCGAATCAATGTGTCAGTTGCTTATTACACTGGCTTCAACATTATCGCATTTGTTTAAAAGCAATTTAAAGAGTTATTTTCATATGTTTTTAATCTAACTTGTAAAAAAATATGTATACCATAATCATATATGAACTCATCGTAATCATTATGATTTAATATGATTAAGTTGTGTGCTTACTGAGTGTCTTTAAATTTCATGTTCTAAATGACCTACGACTGATAGAGATATTATGCAAGTGCTAGTATACATGATCATACATGTACATGTATAAAACTTTGATTGGTTTTGGAAAATTCAAATAAGAAATAAAAGATTAATACTGCTCTGTTTAGTAACTCAATTTCCAAACAGTTACAGACTTTGCATAAAGATTTTTTTCAACCCGAAATAAGTTAACCGATGCATTGATAATGGCAGATAATTATTTGAATAAGGTCGAATCCTATCAGACACAGCTCATTAATGTTATCTAATAAATAAATAGTTCTAAAAAAGTAGTTACAAGAAATCAATGTTATTAGTTATAAAAATTGTTTGTCCATTCAATTAAGAAAATTAGAATAAGTTCATATGGTCCTCCTGCCATAACTCATAGATCATCGTTTATATCATTTAAAAAACAAACAAAAACGTTCTTGTACTATGAAAGGGAGGCGAAATTGATAACATTAACAAAATGTGCAAAATTTATGTAGCATCTTTGCTACACTTGAGATAATTGGGACAGTTCAACAAGAGAACTTGAAAAACTGGGGTTATGCACACTGTTGAAGATGCAATTGCTACAACATCAGATTTCATATTAACAAAGCAGGGATACAATATCTTGTTGTTTGTATGATGTATTACATATGGTTCGTATGATGTATTACATATTGTTTATATGATGTATTACATAATGTTTGTATGCTGTATTACATATTGTTTATATAAGAAGGGCGAAAGATACCAAAGGAACAGTAAATAGATCGAAAAAAACTGACAACGCCATGGCTAAAAAAAGAAAGACAAACATAGAAATAATAGTACACAAGACACAACATAGAAAACTAAAGACTGAGCAACATGAACCGCACCAAAAACTGGGGGTGATCACAGGTGCTCCGGAAGGGTAAGAAGATCCTGCTCCAAATGTGGCACTCGTCGTGTTGCTCGTGTTATTACAAACCCGGTAAATAGTCTAATTCGGTATGTCACATTCGTGAAAAGGGAAGGGGATGGTAGTTACGCCATAAGGAACATATCCGATATCATCTGTGAAACAGTTATTTCATAACGGTCAAACAACTCGTGATGGCATCCGTAAAATTTACGAAGGGATGGTTTCTTTTTCACCATTTTGAACTCTTGGTTTAATAGCTTCCTTGTGAGCAGCAACACTCTATCAAGAAAATCATAATATGAAATACAAGCCCTGGAATATCGTATCAATTGGGAGATATATACTCCGTATGCAGGCGCTGCAGGAATGTTGCTACAAAGAAATGGAAAGTTCACTATTGGAAAGCTGAAATCATCTCTTTTGTCGTAAAGTTTTGTTTTCAAACGACTCTCATTGTCAATTTCTAGATGTAAGTAAAGATATGAGGCAGACTTACCTGTATCTGTTGTATCCTTTATCTCTAGTTCGATGGGATAGATGCGTTCAACATAGTCGCCAAATCTTGAATTATTTAGCGAGAGAACATCATATTTATAGCGGAAAGTAAAGTTAAAGGATATTGCTAACTTCTTATCTTTCTTCCTAAGAATTTCCTGTATGAAGTAAGCCTAATAATAACAACAAGTCGACAAGAAGAAGGGCACAACTGGTTCCCATTGGAATGCCGACAGTCTGTTCAAAAACACGTCCTCCAAACGTAACAAATATGTTGTCAATTAAGAAATCAAGCATCTTGATAATGTCAGTGTCAGAGAATTTTTTGTTTGAATCAGAGAGATTCTTTACAAAGTAGAATTTGTCCCTCTCTGTATGTGACTATTTTTTTTAAGTATTGTTGCACATATCTTTTCGATGGATGTATTACCAAGCTATATTAAAATTTTAAAACAAGTTAAATTTGTGCATTATGATGAAATGAAAAAACATTACCGTAAAAATGCCGAACTAAACAACCTAAAATATAACAAAATCACACGTTAGACTAAATTATGATCAATCAAAGGAACAAATGAAAAGCAACCGGTATAATCCCGACTTGGTACATGCACTATCCGAAGAAAAGGGTGGGTTAGACCAGGTTTTATAACTAGCCAAACGACCTGCTTAAACATGACGTTCCGTTGTATTGACAAAATTGAAATAACCCATCTTAACAATGGTCCAGTTGGTTCTTATCTGTCATATTTGTTATTCGTAAAGAGTTTTGTTATAAATCTTAGATTTTTTATGTCAGGGCCTTTTATAGCAGACTTTACGGTATGAAGTTTCCTTATTGTTCAAGGCCGTACGGTTGCCTACAATTGCTTATATCAACTTCATTTGAACTTTTGGTGAATGGTTATCTCATTTGCAATAAGACCACATCTCCTAATTTAATAAAGCAGTTTGAGATAATGACATATTGTGTTATATTAAAAGCAATGTTGAGTTTAAATGGGCTTCTTGTCATACTTCCTATAAAGAGACAATTGATTCGAATTGATTTTTCAAGTTATAATATAAAGGGTGACATTTTTAATATCTGTGTTTGAACATCTCTGTTTGTTTGTATCGGTATCCGTCTTTACTATCGTTTGCCCTAAAAAAAACTAACCTTGTTTTCTAATAAAAAAAATTGCAAACTCCGGTAAAGTTAGGAGTTCTTAATTTACTTTTGCCAATGGGTTTCGAGTGGCCTTCTTAATCAATTCCTTTGAATCATACAATGTTTTCTTGCGTTTATTTGACTGTGTTTTGTCACGTTGTGTTGTCATTTTAGCGGTATCTTTGAAATCACCATATAAGCGGGAGGTTTAGCTAGCCAACTCACCATTTTTTCTAAAAATGTCTTGTTCCAAGTCAGGAATATGGCAGTTGTTATCAATGCAAGTAGTACGTTTCTAGGTATGTTGGTGTTTGTTTTTGTTGGAGTTTAGTGTTTCTGTTGTTCCGTTGTTTTCCATTTATAGTTGATGAGTTTCCTCGATTTAAGTTTATAACCCGGATTTGTTATTTCGAAATCGATTTATGACTATTGAAAAACAGTATACTTCTGTTGCCTTAATTAAACAACATCAGGTGTTGCTAGTGGATGAAAACTGAACAGTTTTCGATGCTGTTCCGTGTGCTCTGTCTATAGTTTTCAATGTAGTGTTTTGCAAAAAGTAAAATAACAAAAATACTGAACTCCAAATGCAAACTATTGTTGTTATTTCATTTCAAATTTGTATGTTTTTGGAGTTGATTTTGCTGAACTAGTATACATTATGGTGTACATAAAAAAAATCATGCCGTAGTTTTTCTCTCGTGATAATTCAATTTTACATTTTATCATATCGGGCTCACTCCACGAAATTGTATTTTTCTCAATGTTGAAGACTGAATGTTAACCTTTAGTTGCTCACATCTGCATCATTAAGTCTCCGGTGGATTGGTATTATTACGACGAGTCACATAAAACAGTGAAACCAAGATTTTAACAAAAATGAATTTTGTTTTGCAAAGTTTACAAAATTAACTCGCAGGCCGATTTGATAAATAGAAATTCAATGTTTAATACACTGTCTAGTTTTTTTATTCCAGTAACTGCCGATTTAATTTTCATGTATATACCATACACTACTGCAACGTCAAACCATTAAATTCCCATTAAATTCCTGTTAAAATCCCAGAAACCCATTAAAAGTCCTGTCAAAGTTTGTAATGACATTTTTAATGGGTTCTGAAAAAAACCCATTATAATCCTAATTAATTGCCATTAAATCAGGTCAATCTAGTTATGATGCCATTAAATAGCCATTATTATAACTTTACCAAAACCTGTTATTATATCATGGCCATTATTTTTTGTAATGAAAAATAATTAATGGTAATTTAATGCCAATTAATTACTAACACATATAATATGATGACCGAAAAAGGAATATCCATCCTGTTTGTCGCAAGCTTTAACATGTAATGGCCATTAATTGTATGTAATGGCCATTAAATTAAATTAAAATTTCAAACTTTAATATTTGATGGCCATTAAATTATTTCCTGTTAATACAATAATTAATTAATGACCATCATAAATATTCCATACCATGAATTGTAACACAATCTTATGTAGTCTAGTCTGTTCTAGCTTTCACCACTGATTGCCATTTATTGTTTGATGGTGGGGCAACTCTTTTGATCATGCCAATTTGTATTGGTTTTTTTAATTATTGATTTTGTAGTTTAGTACTCTATTTCAGTTGGTACCAAATATTTGAACTTGCGTTTGATGTATATTGGATTTTATAGTTTTCTATCTAATTGGCAACCGAACTACGTACATGTTTTAATTTTTAATATTTATTAGCACAGCTTTGAAAATGTTTCATATTAGGTGTGGCATCAATTATCACAGAAGAGGCACTTATCATGCTTTAATATATAGTCCAAACATCAACAATGGTCTTTATTAAACACATTTGAATGTTATGACAGAGAAACGCTTTAAATAATAATTAATTTGTGAACTTACGATGCTATTTCCAAGTAGTGCGTGGTGGCCTTACATTTTCTTTTCTCAATATTTATAAAGTTAATTCTAAATATTTCTCCAAATAAATATGCCACACTTATCGTATTCCAGAATACAAAAGAACTTTAAAAAATATCATATAAACAGACAATTGATTGCAGAATCTCAGGTGAGTGTGTGAGATTGTAAGATTTATTTTATTGCATTGAATTATGTTTTGGGTAATGTTAAATTTATGGTAGTTTGACCGGTCACGGCCTGACTTGGAAACTGGGTAGGCAAATGCCTTGGGGCAAATGCTCACATTAATCAGTGCCTAAAAAGACTGCAAATATCCTCCTTTACGCCATAACTTTTGGTGGTGCTCCTTATAAAGGAGGATTATACGCATACAAGAAGTTTAAGCATATTTTTTGTACATCGTTGTCTAATAAAGAATTACTATCATTCTAATTGTTTATTGTTCATAAATAAGTGCTGATTTTAAATATAATGTATTCTTCGATATATTTGTTCCTCTTACTAATTAGATCTTACTCGGTTTCTTTTTACATTGGTACACTGGTACGCTGCAACAAGTCTGTCTTCCTTTCACCAAAGATGTAAATTCTGATTTCCCCCAAGTTCACATGTGTGCCTTACTTTTAATTGTCGTCCGGCATATACAGAACTT